TGTCTACAAAATGGTTTATTTACTTTTGAGTTCTGACTTTTTCAAAAATTTCTGCAAATAAAACAAAATCATAGAAAAACGTCACGGAATTACATACGCAGGTAGAGTTAGCTGGCCAGGCCGTTAAGTGGAATATCATTTTCAAATTTTTTCTATATATAAAAAGGAAATTTCGTCGCATAAAGTTTTGCTTGTGTTGTGTATTTCTCTTCTTTCCATAACAGTATGACAGAAATTGAGTACGATCTTTTTCCTTTAACACATTGTTACCCATACTTTAGCGGACATATGTTAATCAACTTTGTTCCATTTGTTTTAGTTTATGATGTATGGTTTTTATCAATGTCTCGATTCATTTTTGTATGTGTGGACATTTTTACCGATTAGAATATTTCTTGCTATATTACATGCATTCTTTTCATTTCGATTTACTTCAAAACGGTATGTGTGGAAAAGTTGGATTATGCCAGCTCATACAGCAGCATACGTTTCTTTGTGATATTACAGTAAAATATTGTTTATGTGTTTATTTTTCGTTGTTAGTGCACGTTTGTTTGAACCAGCTCAAATAATCGATTTAGTTAAAGGTTTTATTATAATTGGATGTACCATTCCATTATGTTTTATGGACATTTCTGTTGTTTATCATGTTGTTCGTGCACAAGCTGCTATTAAATTGTATATGTTTTTTAATATGTTAGAGGTAAGTACATACTTTTCGATGCTGTTTATGTTCATTAACACTCTTTATTTTGCAGATTTGTGATCGCTTATTGGCATCTTTTGGACAAGATACGTTGGATGCTGTGTACTGGACAGCAACGGAACCACGTCGAAAACATAGTGCTGAAAAGTTATTTTTATGGGTTATGGTGGCTATTGTTTATTGTTGTAAGTGCATATCATAGTTTACAACCAAAAGTAAATAATCGTTTCAAACATCTCTCATTTTAGTTATACACGCGTTTCTCGTTTTGTTGCAAGCAATTACATTAAATGTTGCGTTTAATTCACAAAATAAAATGCTTTTAATTATCATGTTGAGCAATAACGTAAGCTTAGCCTTTTACGCGAGCATCGCTGAACAAATTCTTTAGTGGATAAAACTAAACTTTTTTGTTTGTGTTCTAGTTTATCGAATTAAAACACAGTGTATTTAAAAAGTTTGACAGAAATAATTTATTTCAATTATCTTGTAGCGATTGTCGAGAACGTTTTCATTATTGTATATTATTATTTATTGTTTGTGTTAGAAATCTTGATCAATTTGATTGGGATTGGAGTAAGTGTTTGTGATGCAGAAACAGATTCGACTGCTCAGAAAAATACATCGCAGAAGGGGCGGGAGTCAATTTTAAATAAAATCTGTTCCCAGTATTTTTACATTACTTTTAAACGGAGTTTGGAGGGAAAATCTTTGTGCACATTTCTTTGTATAGTCGAGCCTTAGAAATGTCCTAGAACATATTTCATTGTGATTTTTGTGAATGCGTTAACGTTTCTGAAAAAATGATTTTTAAAAACTAAACTGGAGATAGAATAAGCTTGGTACAGAAAAATGGGTAATGAAAAACTGTACAAAGTGGTATACGACTCGTCCTTTGTAACCCAATTGAGAATAAAAAAACATATTTCTTTTTATCAGCTGATATTCGGAGTTAATGCTGAGATACTACTCTTTTTTCCTCATACGTAGATCCATCCAGAAAAACGTGTGCATCTTTCTGGTATTATTCAAAATAAATTCACTTTACTTCTAATCTTTGACGTCTATGTAGATACAAACACGAAGAACTTATGGCTTTTAAATTTTACGTTATTCGGTAAGAAAGAAAAATAAAGTACCATTGACTGTCGATCTAATTTTCACCTAAAATCAATCTTATGTCTGAATAATTATAAAATAAACTGATGATATTTAGACTTGGTTTGTTTAGATGACAGAGCTTTTCAACCGCAATTTTTCTAAACCACACATGAGTTAGATCCTCTTTTACTTAGGAGAAAAGGTTCGAAACAGCCATACAGTG